GTGCTAATAATATCCACCTGTGTTTCTGCTTCTATTAGTCGAAAGCCAATAATTTGTTAGCCCTCGTTTTCCAAACGGTAGTCTGAGGAACAACGACTAATCCGTCCGGACTATTCTCCATATTGGTTGTGTGCAACTTTTCCCACCTGTGGTCAAATTCGCTCATCATCCTGCTCCGGTATGACCGGTTTTCTCCCTCTTGGTTTATGTCTTGATGGAGAACGTTCGTAGATTAAACAATAAATGGAGCTTATTCTCGCATCAGAACCCTTGACAAAGTCAGAAACCGAGTTATGGGATTTATGTGCCTCTTGGTTTTAACTATATGCTAAAATCTCTTAGATATTGCAACCGGTTTGGGGATGATGACAACAAAAGTTGCCGAATCAACGAGCCGCACACGTCAATGTCAACGTTCGAAGGTCAACTTTTTCTGAGGAATGTATTTTCAGTGCTTTCGGTATTAAGAATAATATGTGAGTAGCTTGTAGCCAACTAATTTATCATTTTACGTCAGTTGGAATATTTTCTATTTACTATGCACTGAATGAAAAGAGATAAGCATTTTAGAATACGTGTTCTCAACTTAATAAATATTTTCATGAATCAGGAATCCTTTATCAGAAGGAATCAACTTCAGTGTTGGTTTGCATAAAATATTTTCCAAATGTGAGATATAACTCACGAACTACTACAAATTGTATCACATGACACTCAAGGTCGCGCGAATTCAAACCGTCATAGAAGAGAACTGAGAATACGGAAGTGGGAGATAAAGTCCGGAATAAATATACTTTACCCATAGCCATCAATATATAAGTATCACATTGGAAACTAAAATGTAATTACAAAATAAGAGAGTCATGTTGCACGAGTTTGATCACAACACCTGTCTGCCTAGCACTTTCACTCTCTCATTCAATTTGGGTGCTACTGATTGCAGAAACCCATCACAGGTTTAAAATCTGAACCGGTGTTTCTGCCTGCCTGCGGCAACAATGCAACACACTGTGTACAGCTCGACAGCTCAACACGGACAAAAAAAATGAGAGTGACAATCACGTTTATTCTCATTAATTCATCATTATGCCAGTTCACCAGAAATACATATCTGGAATTGACAAGGGAATCGTCTCCCATTGCATCCCAACTGGATTCAGCGCTCGATTCTGGTGGGGTAGCCGGACGAGCAATGTTCAGGTGAGGCGTAGAGTTTTAGGCAGTCACGGTCGTCCACTGGAGTAAGTGATCGAAGTCCATAGATTTCGTTGGTTGGGGCATGTTTTGCGCATGCCACCAAATACTTTGTCACGGCGGGCGATATTTGCTGAGGCAAGTAGCGGTTGGAAAAGGGTTAATGGTGGTCAAACAAGACAAACAAGACCTGACATGAGGGTATGAAAATCCTAACCAGGAGACTAGGTCACATAGGCCCCGTTAGAATCCCTGGCTGGGGACCTCGGGATGGTCACCGATATTTAGAGATACTGCGTGGCTGGGTATAGCAAACAGTGGCGCTCGTACATCCACTCATTATTCTCCTAATACCATTCTATATGAATTTGTTTTCAACATTCCAATCTTCATTCTGCCCTTTTATTCAAATGAGGCACCAAAACATAGCAACCAAAACCGGCGCACGAAAGTGCATGGTTAATAGTTGTATAAAATTGAACTGGAACTCGAGCGATCTATTCTACGGAATCCGTTGAGGCGGAACTACGGAATATCGAATTCGCATTCCTAAATAATGACAACCCCGGAACGATTCATC